CGTCCGTCACACCGACACATGATCACCTGTATGTACGTTCGTCACACCGACACATGATCACCTGTATGTACGTTCGTCACACCGACACATGATCACCTGTATGTACGTTCGTCACACCGACACATGATCACCTGTATGTACGTCCGTCACGTAGCGCCGTCTCTCCACAATGTTTCTTCACTATATTAATTGTACAAGCTTGAGAAACGTATGAATGAGAATGTTTTACACCATGATAAACGAAAACAGTTTCTGCTGCAGATACTTTATCAAGTTCACCAACTGGTATTATAAGTTCGTTCAGTTTTTTTACTGAGAAGGAAAAAAACAGAAGAGAAGCGTAATTTCGAGAAGCTCTCTTAGATATTTCCAATATACCTTTTGCTGCATCTTTCATTTTTCCTTGATGATCAGGCGTTGACATGTGACGACTGATCGCGTAAGCTCCATCACCGCTAATAGAAAACTGTGAATTACAGACACAACATAGGGCTCCTATTTAATTGAATTTAACTTCTCTCAAAAAATCTTTGTATTTCTCATTGTTCAATCATTCCTTTTTAAAACGACAAGCACGTTTCGTAGATAGTTTAGCTGATTTGTCCAGCTTATTAATTAAATTTTATGAACTTTCATTTTTAAAATCAGACATTACTTATTTAAAAGTAATTAGACAAGCATAAAGAACGAGATATTTAGTCGAGGAATAAAATGTGAATTTGAACTTGAACTGAAATATTAAATTAAATATAAATTTTGAACTGAAATATGTACAAAGAATGAAAATATTATTGTATTCGATTTTTGTTTCGTTTCTTATAGTGTAGTCAATTCTTCTATTTCCATGATGCGACCTGAAAGGCGTGAAAAAAGACAGAAAGAACGAAAAAAATTATCTTTTTCTTTTATCGCATGTAGGCAGATATATCTGTCATGCAGACTGTATCTCACATAAGAAAAAGCACTAAATGCTAGGTCTATTGAAATGAAAGCGTAATACAAAAGCGCAATATCCATTGAAGACAGTCAAAAGAGCACATCCTCGAAAAGAGGGACACTCGGTGGGACAGATTTCCACGGGTTCAAGTCATTAAATGGGGAACATCTAGCAACCCTGCATGGGATATATAGGCGCACATGTGTTCAGAGCTGGGCAGTTCCGACCCCTCCCGACTTCGGCTCCACTCCAGCGCAGGCTCCACCCAACTTCGACTCCAACTTTTTCTATCCGGCTCCGGCTCCTCTCCTAGAGTTTTTACATTTGGTTCCGACTCCGGCTCCAAAAGATGTTCATCTTTGCTTGTTTTTCTTTCGATTGAATTTTCTAAGCTTTCAGGTAAGGAAAAATACGAAAATGAAAATCGTTTTGAAGTACAAATATGCTCTATAACTGCATGATATATACATAAAAAATCTTCTTTCAAAAGCGTTACATTTAATAGAAGAAAGTCAAGACTGAGGCAGCATATATTAATGTGTCATCAGCGTACACACTCATATAACTAGCTACCGTAAGAGTATCACTTTTACCCCGATCGAACGCGCATATCATCATCCGCACTCCGACTCTGAACTCAACGCTTCCCGTCCAGCTACGGCTATGTTGTATCGTAGCCAAGAATATCTTTACCTATAATTCCCTGTTTTCTAGACCATTTTGGTTTAATTACTGAGTTCTAAAACACTCTTGGTACTCTGACAAAACTAACTCACAATGACCCTAATACTTGATGCAAGTGCTTGATCACTTGCTAAGTACTTGTCAATGATCGAAATACTTGCCTTCTTGCGAAGAAGTACTTTCTGAAAGTACTTGGCAAGTAAGGACAAGTACTTTCAAGTAAATTTACTTACTGAAAAAAGGCAAGTACCGGCTTCATTAAGGACACGAAGTACTTGGTCCAACTACGTTCTCTAGGAAACATCAGCCGGCAATACGGAGAAGGTTCTGATAACACCACCCATTAGTAAAAAAGTATATCGGTTACTAGAAGCAGATTCAAAAGAGAATGTCACGAGAGGAATGCTCATATCTCGAAACTCTTTGATCATCTTACTTTCCTTATGTCACTCTTTTCGAGAATGTAGGCACTTAAATATTCTAATATTATTTTCGTCGAGAAAAGCTTCTTGTTACTCCAGACTTGAGAACTACTCGAAGTTTTTGAAGATACTTTGAATTTCACGCAATAACAGTGGATCAGAAATCTCTCTTATATAGAACAAATGGAAATGTTCTCTTTATAAGTAACGTGTTATAGACTGAAATAGACAATCCGTTTATAAACGGAGACTGCTCCCAGGATTCGGAGCTGCCCATGGGCAGCTTCGGATCCTGGGAGCAGCTGCAGCTCTGCATGTGCTACTCTCTTTAGAATTATGCTTAGCACAGCTGCTTGTTTGAATGCATAATGACAGCCCAAACAGTAGAAATTGCAGGTACGACTTTATGTCTAATGAAAAGTAGAAAAATGTTTGAAAAAATGATTGGCCTCTAGATAGACATGACTCGGACTTGCGACTGCATTTCAAGGACATGGACCCGGTTGCTCGCTTTATGACTTGGTTCGGACTCGGCATCGCCCGAGCTTGCCAGACAAAATTTAGTCTAGAATTTATTAGCAACCAGAAGAGAGTCTGCCATTTATGGTCATACGAGAAAAAAAATTGTATTTTTAATTTACGATAGTTCTCTAACATGTGATCTTCATACAGCTAGAAAGCTCTCGGTTAATGCTGGCATTGTGATGTTTAGCAATTCCTCTACAATCTTTTCAGTTTGTTAAAACCTGAATTTTTGAGATGCGAGCTCGAAGCCGATTAAAAAGTCTGGCAAAGTAGGAACTGCTGCATATGGTTCGCTATTAAAAATTTGTCGAAAACCGTGCACTTTTAACCAAGTTAATGTTCAAATGTAACTAGCCCAGATTGGATAAGTACAAGTGCATGAACAAAACGTACGTGTACGTCAGTCATTCAAACAAAATAATCGCCTTTCTGCTTATATATGTGTACATTTTTGTTTCTGGTTGAAGACTTGAACACCATTTTATGAACTCGTTTCGTGCAGTTGATTACCTGAACTGAGTTTTTTAGATTTATACTTCGGCACAGTCCGCCTTTCTTTTCCAAGTGTAAAACAGCTAAATCATTAACCGCTAAATAACAATACCCTGTCAAAGTAGAGAACTTCCAGCGGTGACAGAGGGAAACCCCTATCTAGGGCAGAAAGATCGATCGATTAAATTTTGCGTTCGTGATACATACATAAGACGCGTCAAGAATCGTCAATAGGGTCTCAAGTACAAATTTCACGTATCCATCAGTCACTGTTACAAACTAACTTGTAAGACTAGACAGAGATTCATGTAGAAAACAGACGACTGCGATTGGTAAGAGTCAACAAAATTATACTTTATAATCTCCTCTTATTGAAACTTTAAATATATTTTATAAAAAGTAAGAGATAACCCAACAGATTCTGTTGACTGGTAGCTCTTCTATAATGTGTTAAAATGTAGCATAAGTCACACATATAAAAAAGGCACTATTGACAGTCTCAAACAGGAATAAATTCAAGTATTAGCGTCAAAGAGTAAAAAGTCGTTCGGTAATACGTCTTATGGGTAGCCACAAGGACAATAGTCTTGTCTATTCATTAACGACACACAAACTCTGTTGCCTTGCAGTTGCCATTTATTGAGAAGTCGATCATATTTACCATTGTAGATGAGTCTGTTGATAGCCTGAACCAAAACACAGCAAAGCGGACTACCTTTCTGACACGTCAACCCATAAGCAGCTTTGAGATAACGAAATTCCAATATTTTTAATTTTTTAGCATAGTCATGTTGGATCCCAAACGATATTTGAGCATCATCACTAGTACCGATTTGAGCCAATCCACTGTTCACGGATGAGAGCAAATTATCGATATCGGCTGTCGGATAAATACGAATTCCGCTGTTCTTTGGACATTGATCAAAAAGATTTTCAATCAATGTCTGCTGTTGAGAACCGGTAACAACGGCGACACTGTGATTGCATAGATCTTTTAATCTATTCATAGTAAAGTTGTCAGATGATCGAACGAAAAATGCCGTTCCCACCTTGAGATAATCAATAAAATTCACTCTCTTCTCATTTTCAACTGTATCTCTAAACAGTGTTGATGCTGTTATACGATATTTTTGCTTTTCTTGGGTATCGAAAAAAGCGCTGAGAGAAGTTAACTGTTCATAATTTACTTTTAAACGAAGAACAGCACCAATTTCCCCCAATAAGTCAATGATAAAGCCTGTACTAACGTTTTTAATATTCGTAGATATAACAGACGATGCGTCAAATGGTGTTGTGTAGACAACAAGTGTACCGAGTTTTGCTAATAGCGGTGGAACATTATTTCGGATGGTGGGACAGTAGTTTGTGCATTGAGTACTGATAAAAGTTGGTAAAGAGATAACCAAGGGCAAAAACGTATTTAACCACATCTTTACAAAATTTTATACAAAAATGTTTCAGAAATACCTGTTTTTAGCTGGACGAATAAATACTTGATTTATAATAATATCTCATGCACAAATTAGGCAGGCATATTTTTGTCTACTTGCTTCAGTAAACAATAGGCCATGATCAAATTAAGCAGAGATAGTTCATGTGTCAATACCTGATCTGCTTTTCCTCACATTATACCTTACCTGACTGTTTTCTCACATGCGTATAAACTTTACAACGAATGCAAACGCTTACATCAATTGTTTTCATTGTGGATTACAGAAACCAATGAGGCATTCTGTTTTTATTCGTTATCCTTGATAAACTTATCTTAATTACATTGTTCTCATTATGCTTATTTTACGTTTAAAAAGCTTCTAGATAACAGGAGGTACGCGTATCAGTATTTGTTTCTTCTCTCGAGTATCACTATTTAACTAATATTTTCTAAAACATCTTATATTCGAAGAACATTTGGCCTCACAACTAATACACAAAAATAATACATGTTAGTGTCACAGCTCTTTCTCCTGTCATTACTACCATTTATTAGCAGCCAATGCACAAACTACTGTCCTAATATTCGAAGTGAAGTACCCGCGGCACTCCGACAATCAGCCAAATTAGTGATATATACAGTAAAAACTTCTAGTCCACCGATTAGTTTTTCGAACAATTCCGGTTTTGCTATCGATTTAGTAAACAAAATTGGTGAAATTCTCGATTTAAAAATAAACTTCGTTACTATATCATCCCCTTTGATAATTCCGACTCTTAAACAAGAAAAGTTTAGTGCAAGTGTATCATTCGTATTTGATACACCAGCAGCTGAAAAGCAAGTTAGCTTTGTCGGATATCTAAAAGGTGGTACAAGTTTTTATGTCCGTGCAAACAGTAATATAACAATTAACAAGCTAACTGACTTATGTGGACTCGCTGTTGCCGTTACTACTGGTTTTGCAGATTTGGTTGAAAGTGTGTACCAATCATGTCCGACGAGTAAGCCGATTAAAATTATCGGTGTATATAATAGAGACCAAACGTTTCAAGCTGTCCTGGACGATCAAGCGGATATCAGCTATACCAATGAACTGACAGCTGCTTACACAATTCGAAATCTGTATTCAAAAACTTTAAAAATTCTACCATTTCGCTCGCAAATACTTCCCATCGGTATTCTCTGCCAGACCGGAAGCAAACTATGTTGTCTTCTTACTAGAGCCATAAACACACTCATATTTAATGGTCAATATGATATACTCATTCAAAAGTATAATTTAGAACAGAACAAACTTTGTGTATCGTTGTTAAATAGAAACAACTTTTGTCCTTGTGACTATCCTTAGACAGGATTTGCATGATAAGTTATTTTCGAACATTGTAAACGCCTTGCATTATTAAACTAAGTTATATAATCATCTCATAGCAATAGTCTAGTGCTGAAATGTTTTCAAAGGAGGTTTGTTCCGGTAACCATTTTATGCCGCAAAAAGTGCTGTACATTCAACTGGTATCAATGCAAGTCGAACCAGATTTGGCCGGAGATTGGAAGAGGATAAAACTATGAGCTTATCTGGCAACGTCCTCAAAAAACACTGACCAGATACGTCACCATCATGTTGTCTCAGAAGATCGATCTACTCATAATTCGATGTACCCCGGCTTTTACTGCATAATCACAAAAAACGCAGATCTCTAACACTCTCCAGTCAGAAGTTATTCAAATAGATCAGACAGTTATTCAGATAGAACTAATACCTGCTCAGCAGGTTTTTCCAGCTCTTTTCTTTTTTTATCATCATTGATTATAATTTCCTCTTTTGTCCTCTTCGGATTAGTTTCGTCACACTTCATCAGCATTAGAAACATACTATAAAATGTGTATTCATCATATTTACATCAATAATAATAAACAAGTACGATGCGTACGATTTTTTACTATTGTTCAGCATCCTCGTTTAAATTTTGTTTTGGTTGTTTTCTTTACATGGAGTATTGACTGATGGACAGTAAAACGATGCTTTAATACAGGTGAATGAATAAGAACTAATTAGTCCTGTTCCTTCAATTTTCTGCCAGAACAAAACACATAAAGCAGGAGCATTTCTTAAAGTCTAGGACGAAAGACTAATGACGTGTTTATCAGAAAGGGATATGTTCGTGAATATATCTCTCCGTTCTTAATTTCATTCAGTTTTTGAACAAACGGAAAGAACTTTTCTGTACATTTTTTAAAGAAGGAAAAGGCGTATTAAGGGATTAATCAGCTAAGCTTTCTTTTTTCAATGAAAGAACGTATCATAATGCGCTGATATTTACGAAATCTGAATCGTGAGTAAGAGAATCAAAATGGTGGACTTAGTGACATCATATGAAGTCGAAATAGACTTGGCTGGAGTTTTTATGCAGACGACTTGAAGAAAAATCTTTTTTGCAAGTTACTTATTAGCATAAGGACATGACTAATTCGAAAATATCTCTTCTCAGGTCTTTTCCGTTACCGAGATAACAGGCATTATTTCCTAAAAACTGGCTCTTATTTATTGCTTCAAAGGCAAGATTTTTTGGCGAAATTGATTATTTAGACAGCTGTAGCTTTGTACTTAGATTCTCTGGCAGTTGTAATTTTAAAAAAAAAGGTCTTCCGTGGGCGGCG